ACAATACCTTTAAATAACATGGTATTTTGACTTTACAACACTGGGTATTAAATTTAAAGAACTATAAATATAAAATATATTTATAACATCTTGTTTTCTGTTTGTTCCTAAAGTTTTATCGATATCTAGTCAACGCCTAACAGCTTAGCAAAATATTTCACTGTTTTCACAAATTGTTACATAGGAACAAAGCTTCGAGTCCTGGTCTTTATAACAAAAGAGCGAAGTTAAGAAGAAGGTAAAACGATAAATCTATTATTTAGTTAGTAGGTGGACCTTGTTATTAATAATCAGTTAAATAATAAAACGTTTCTAAAGGCATTATTCAATTGTCAATGTCAAAATAAAATAACATCCGATACCGCATATGTACCTTAAAGTATACCTATTGAAAATGTACTCTATTATTGTAGACAGACAAAGAAAAAAGTGCTGTCAACAATAAGCTGTGGTCCATATTCATGGCCAGTTCCGCGTCTCGGTCAACTAATTATCGGGTTAGTAACCTCTGAACTTTCGTTTCTTATAAACCTTAACAACGAACATAAATTTAATTTTACCGGTAACCTTGGAAATCAGCATACTACAGTAATGTCTGTATTAAGCAAACAATCCGTGACAAACTTTTTGCTATAAAAGCATATGGCATAAAAGCGGCAGAGGTACTTTTTCAGTCCACTTTTTGTAAATCGTTAGGTACTTAATATACCTAACACCTGTCTGAAGGTACGTATTACTGATTCTATGACTGAGACTATGACTTAACCAGTTTTTATATATACTGCAACATAAACACACAACATAAAAATCATAAAAATATCACAAAATTATCAATGTTAATGGATTAGACTAGTGTCTCAGACTCTCCAGACCTGCTCTTTACATTGTTTTGCGTCTTGCTAATTACTTTAACAAAACTTCTATAAAATACCCTAACTTATAGAACCGAAACCTACTTACATAATATAAGTATTAGCTACAAACAATTTGTTCAATCCATTCGTAACCTAAACTCTAGAAATAGTTATCGGGCTTCCGTGACTATGGTGGTAAGATATCACGACCCGATTACCGGACCTCAGGGCACGATAGACAGAAACCTTTCGCAGAATGTTTTGCACACAATTAAAACAATTACGGATAATAAACGTGAGCGCCTTTCAAATAATTATAATATCGTTTTGTAATCAAGTAGATTTTTATAATTTAAGACCAATTTACAATAGGCAACAACGGCAACAAGACTTAAATGTTTTATTTTTAAACTGGCTGTCATCTAACTCTATCTAACTATCTAACTCACGGGAACAGTACTTTTGTGACTAGAAGGCATATTATTACCTTTTATGTGCCCCTGACAACATGTATGCAATACATCATGATAATCGGTTCAGTAGTTAAGTTAATATATGAGTGTGTGATAATATATATGAGTGTCGGGATTTATATTTTTTTTTTTATTTATCCCTTTTTTTATTTGTTCTATGGAAGACTTACAGATAAATCAACAGATTAACCTACCGAATAGTATTAGAAAGCCAATTACAGGTCTTCACTTTAATAAATTTAGTTTAATTGAATCTAATAATTTATTTACTGATTAATCTATTATTACAAAGCTCAAAAGTTTGTTTGATTAGTTGAACGTGTTAATTTCTAGGTTACGACCAAAAAGAGACGAGCATCAATGAAAAATGATGCAAATGTATTCCTCTTCAGAGACGCAGACGAAGTTGCGTGGGTCAGCTTATATTATATATAGTATCTGAAATGTAGATTTAAAATCTTACTGGCTGTTACTATGAGGATTGAGACTCTGCGGGATGATGGTAGTGAGGTGTAAAATAAACAATTCTATTCATTAAAAAAGGTGATGTTTTCGACATCTTGCAATCGACTTTCACCAACAAAAATTACACAGTTTTTAAATTTTTACATACTTTTTGATAATAACTAAACCTATTTTTTTTAATCATAACCACAAAGACAGAGTAGTGCTGCAAATCTAAAAAACGAGATCTGTAGAAATGTGGAAACGAAAAGCAAAGAGGTAGAACTATTTTTAACAAGAACACAAGCATTATTTCATACAGGTTTCTTATATGTTATTTACAATCATAACCTGAATTTAACATTTCGTGTTTACTAAAATATAGTTTTAATAAATTATCACTTATTTGAGTAACACCCAATTAAATACTAAAACTGTAACATTAATTAGTTCTGTTGAGTAACCATTAGCCTGTTATAAAAATAATGTTTAGACCTACATTTAGTCTATTAGTTACAACAACAGTTAATTTACTATATCGGGTGTCTGTGATCGCGTTACGAACATCGGTTAAGAAATGAAATACCCTTCAATTTGCATACTACGCAGCTATATCAGTATTTGATCACGTCATGTGGTTGAACTCGGTATATTTGATACAGCTCTGTCCCAATACATGAGTAAGAATTGATAATTTAAAGCAATCAAATTTCAATACAAAAATTTTAATTAAATAATAAATAAAAATAACAGAAATGTCAAAAACATTTGATTTTCCGCAAATTGAGTCCACCGAATTTCAAATCAAGCTCAATAGAATTTTAGTGACATTTTTATGCGACTACGCGATAGAAACATATACTCGTATTATTACCAACTGCCTGTATACGTTGATTTCTATATAGACGACCGAATGGCGTAGTGGTTTGTGTAACGGACTGCTATTCCAAAGGTCGCAGGTTCGATTCCCGCTCAAGTGAAACATTTGTGTGCGTGAACATTTAATGTTTGATTTGGTCTGGGTGTTCCTATGTATAATAAGTATGTATTTACAAAAAAGAAAAGTATATATGTATTTATATCAGTTGTCTAGTACCCATAGTACAAGCTCTGCTTAGTTTGGGACTAGATGGCGTTGTGTGAATGTGGTACAATATTATTATTATTAGATGTAGGCGTATCGAGCCGCTTTTGTATAAATAATGGCGATTCCACACACATCACACATCAACAGCCTTTAATAGTCCACTGCTGGGAATTGGTCTCTCCTTAGAAAGGATATTTCGGCCTACTATACCATGCTGGTTTGTGTAAGTTTTCCTTCTTTTTGCAGTATTGTTGTCCTGCGTTGTATGCTCGCTTAGTCGGCTCTTACCGTTCCAAGATAGTTTTATTTTGCCTGGGACTTCCAGAGTATTATAACTTGGTGAGTTCACTGCTGTTAATCCGTGTGGCTTGTGAGTGGGATTTGTTTCAATAAAACAAATAAAGACAGGTAGGCATATCAGTAAATAAGTATGCCACATACAATAAGCTGTTTTTAACCACTTAAACTTAACTTGACCAAATAATTCACTTTTAAAAAGTATCACCGACTTCGCTGCTAGACGCTTCACATAGAATTGAATGGCCTGTATTTTTCATTCTTTTCTTTTAAACCCTTAAGATATTTTCCAAATTTGATTTGATTTCCTTCTTAAAATTTGAAGGTGGGAATTTTTTGTAGGACCAAACGGGAAGTAAAGCCCTATTTCCCGTTTGGCCCCACAAAAAATTTCAAATCGTTTCATAAATCACGAATTTCTGAGGTAACAAACAAAAATATGTAATCCAATTAAGAACCTTCTTATTTATTGGAAGTCGATGAAGAATAATAAAATACCAAAGTGACAAAAACATTAGTAGTGATTTGAAGAATGAAATAGGTTAACTAAAGAATACACTAAGACTTTTTTTTCTTTTTTTTTCTATGTAGAAGTAATTAAGCTCACTTTTGTACTGGCAGATTTAGCAGATGAATTACATTTTCTTAAGAACAAACTCATACAACGAGATATTTCTATATCTGTGACAACAGGTACAAAGTCCTTCCGTTATGAGTGAAAAATTATGCCCAAATTATAGTTTTAAATAGAACTTGTACCTATCAAACTCCACCACGAACTTAATTAACACAAAGGGTTGTTTTATTAAATCTAAGACAGGTACCTACCGCATGAACTGTATTCCACTAATATTATTTGAGTAAGTTAAATGTTTAAGTCATAGAAAATATAAAAAAAACAAATTTTAAGCTCCAATCAATCGAAATGAATAATATAAAGCTCAAAGCTTTAGGATTTCGATTAGTCATTTGAATACTGTTCTAAACATCATAACCGTCAAACCTCATTCGGAATATTATGACAATTCATAAGTGATTTTCTATTGACTCAAATGAGGTGCTAAAATTTTAACTCAGTCAGAAACTTAACAAATCACCATCTTTACAGGATTTTTTTTAAAATGGACATGTCTTATTGGTTATGATACTCGTAGCATAGTTCAAGATATGTTCATGATGTAGTTCATGAAACAAATAGTTTTAATCAAAATCGTAAGTCATCTAACAGGGGAAGTTTATTATGTTAGCAAAACAATAGGAATCGTTATGCGTTAAGACTAACAAGATATTCAGTCAGTTAGGTCAAAGTATTAACTAACTTTGTTTTTAGACCTGCATGAAATATATAAAATTAAAATTCATTATTGCTCTCTAGTGGATGGATGGTTGATAAATAGTATAAGTTTGAAATGAGATTCAACACAGTATCGAAAACTTAATAAACTATCATAACTAACACACATTACGAATCTAAAGACCTTCAAGTACAATATTACATATTTTTGTTTTCCAGTCTCTTAAAGAACGCCCTTGTTTTCATAGTACAATTGAAAATAAAAATTAGATTGATTATTGCAATCATTCACTCAACATCGATATTGGAGATAATGTCGAAGTACGTAAGCAGGGCGCCCGCAGGCGATGCGCGAAGGCGATTGTCCGTAAAGCATAAACGAACCTATGTGTGCGAGTAACCAGCGACCTCGCGGTGTCAAAGTTACGGAACTAAAGTGACCGCAAGCCCCACCACGCCAAAGGACTGTGTGTCCGTTCAGCTTTTCATATAAAAGTCACACTCCGGCCCGATAATGGTATCAGTCAACGACTTTGATTAACTAGTTCAAAATGTTCACCAAAGTAAGACCACCTTTATTTAATTTTTTTTAAATGTAATTAAGTTTATTGCAATAATAATAATGAATGGTTCTGCCACCAGGTGTTCGCCCTTAGCGCCTTCTTGGCTGCTGCCAACGCTGGTCTCCTGCACCATGGCGCTGTTTCTTCCCAGAGCATCGTGCGCCACGATGCCCCTGCACATTACGCCCCTGCACATTACGCCCCAGCACATTATGCGGATGGTCACTACGCCGCTCCCCTAGTTCATGCTGCACCCATTGTCCACGCCGCCCCCCTCGTTCATGCCGCTCCTGTAGTACACGCTGCTCCCATCGCTGTTGCCCATGCCGAATACGTGAGTACTTAAATTAAGAACGAGGTTATGTAAAAAAAGGTTACTGTAGCTAATCTAAACGGAAATCCTTTAGCCGTTTCCTTTAATATACTGATCTACGATATTTTTAATGAGTTTGACCAAGATAATAATTAGATGTGTTAATGCCGCAGTCTCACCCTAAATACGACTACGCCTACTCCGTGGCTGACCCTCACACCGGTGACCACAAGTCCCAGCACGAAAGCCGTGACGGTGGTGCCGTTCACGGCAGCTACTCCCTGGTCGAGCCTGACGGTTCCGTGCGTAAAGTAGAGTACACAGCTGATGACCACAACGGGTAAGAAGACTACCATCTCAGTCAAATTATTTCTTGCAAATATTAGACGTTTTATCATGTTTTATATAATTATTATTATTTTTTATTATTATATATTATATTATTAATATTTATTATTTTTATTTTCAGTTTCAACGCTGTAGTCCACAAGACCGCCGGACACCACCCCGCCCCAGTTGTCCACGCTGCCCCCATCGTCCACGCGGCCCCCCTTGCGCATATTGCGGTCGCTCCCTTTGCACATGGACATCATGGCCTCCATTACTAAACAATGACTAGCGCTAATTGTGTGATATGATGATGGATGACTGATTGTGATATTTATGTGTACATAATAATGATGAATACAAATATACTCGTTTGTAAATAAAATACTCAGCTTCTGAAATATCTATACTCGTTTAATTAGTGCCACTTGACACTTATATAATATAGCTACGGTTTTTTTATTACTTGCCTACAATGAACAACTAAGTTCAACTCAAGTTCACTACAAGAGATAAAAATGCAGAGCGATTAATGTGAGTTTTAACAACATTACAGCATATGGTATAATAGTTATATCGCCAATTAAAAATTTGCAGATTGGGGGAGTGAATACTATCACTATATTATTTCGAATGGGAACTATAAGAAAATTAGAATGGCGGCACAGAAATGCACTATTTAGATTAAATACATTCGACAGGGCGACATAAAAGGCGAATGGTTAGTACCTATAAACCAATCCAGGTAGACTCGTACCTAAGTCGACGTGCATTGTAGTCTAGAAATGTTATAGATTAGATTACGTAAAACATTTAACAGTTTTATAAAAATCATATCATAATAATCGAAGACAGATCAATAAAGGGCATTGGTTGCTTTCATAATTTTGAAGTTGCTATATGATCAGAAACCGAATGTACAATTGTTCATACTAACACACTAGTATTATACATGTTAGAACCGATTAATTCAGACCAACCAAGAAATGCCGGCAAATGCGAACTGGCTGGTACGAACGAACCTCTCGGTAATAAAGTCTATAGTTGGGGACAGTGGTATTTGTCGGTATTACGTGATGCCCTAAGGCACAAACGCCAAGCTTTTAACCAGTAACATTTATAGATAAATACACTTACTAAAATAATAATAATATATTCTACCACATTCGCAACGCCCTCTAGTCCCAAACTAAACATAGCTTATACAATGGGTACTAGACAACTGAAATAAATACATACATATATACTTTTTTTTGTAAATACACACATATTATACGTAGAGCCACTCTGACCAAATCGAATATTAAACATGCATGCACACAAATGTTTACTTGTGTATAACACAAATGTACAATAGAGACACAAAAATACAAATTAAATACATGAATATACAAATTATGTTAAAAGTTGATAATACATAATATAGCTTTGCTACATGCTCTTGAACTGCAAGTATTGTTCTCTAAGTTACCATACTTGACCATGTTTGTTTCTGATGAAAACTGTGGGCAGTCTTCCTTTACTATTTTTTTACTTGTTGAAATATTGCTTTTTTTATGTACCTACGGTTGTTTTGCTACAATATTTTATATATTTACAATTAGATGTAACTAAATCGTGTTTACAGCTTCCCGGTTTTTTTTTAAGCCTTAACGCATAATAAATGTCTTTAGTTACTACTAAAGATAAGGTAGCTTAGCCATTAAAAAGATGCATCGAGCACTATTAACTTCAGTTATGCCCTTGAATTGTTATACATTGGCTCAAAATAATTACTGTTGTTATCTATGTAGACACGCGCAGTTGCGTTGCGTGCTGAGTTGCTGAGGCGCCCGCGCATTCCTCACCCAGTGATTTGGTGCGATAATTACAAAACATTTTATGGAGAGTTGCGCAAATTTTTTAACTGCTTTAGCTACTGCGCGACGGCCTAGAAAAAGTCACCTTTATAGTTATTACACCTTTGTTTTTTTTTAGTAATTCATATCATTAAATAACCACACCCATTGTTCTCAAGTGCATGTACATAATTAACTTAGGTTAATGTATCAATAATATTTGTTTGTTTTCCCCATACGATAAAATATATATTTTTACATAAATTACGTCAATTTTAATGCAATCACTATAACGACTATCAATTTGAGAGGCAGCAAACATAATCGCATTATGTCTAAATCATAATGATATAAATTGCCACAATTGTCTATGAAAATAGAAGTGTAGTTCTATAAAGGCTTTGTTTCGACATCGCGCTACCGGTGATCAATCACCTGTATAGTTATAGTGTACGGACAAATCGGCAATGTAAAGCATTACATGTTAGTAAACAAAACAATGCATTACGATACAGTATTCTATACGTTAACTTAGATGGTAAATAAATATACCCATTGTAAGATTTTAATAATTGTTATTAATATTTGGAGATGTTGTTTGAGACTCTTGGCTAACAATACATGAGCAGATATGACACATATTATTAAAATTTAATGGTTATAAAGTTTGATCCAAATAAGGTTTTATAGTTTTAAAGTAAACTCGATTTACTTCAAAGTCTACATGTAAAATATCAAATACATATTTAAATTTAACTTGTAATAATTAAAAATTTAATCAATGCCTCTATTTAATGGCCAATGGGAGATACCTTCTCTATAGTACGACTAACTAAAGACAATCAACGTTTAAAGATATTTAACAAATAAATATATCGACAGTCTCGTGAGACAAAACGCAATTATTAATTTGGTCATCTTTTTAACTTTCGCTAGGTTCTTGTTATGAGGAACGAGGATATCGATAAGTACTGCGCGGACTCCGATCGGTCTGTCACATTAAGTACATTCTACATAGACCATTTCCTACCAAATCCTACACTTCACCATCAAATAACCTATTTTCAGAACTTCCCACATTGACCAAAACCTACATTTCGCATTGACATCATTCGAAACTTCTTACAATGACTAAAATCTACCTTGACCAATACCTACATTGACCATTTTCTACTATTCGGGAATAGAATTGGGATTCAAGTAAATATGTGCAAATTGAATATTTCCACGTCCTAAATTTAATTACTTTAGATAATTTTAAGAAAATATCTATGTTTGTTTCTTAGTTCATCTTCATCAGTCATCTCAATCAATATTCAATAAGTACTCAAGAATTTTAAACCGCGGTGCCTATAGGTTGTATAAAATATGTAAAAAGGTTTTGAATCCATGCTATGAAAAGGTAATATTGCATATTTAAAAAGTAAAATATAATTATGAATCAAATCTGTTGCATACGGTCATTTTTAACCGACTTCAAAAAAAGGAGGAGGTTCTCAATTCGACTGTATTTTTTTTTTTTTTGTGTATATTTGTTACGCGAATACTCCGGCAATTATAAACCGATTTGAATAATTCTTTTTTTATTTGGTAGGTCATACGTCAGAGGTGGTCCCATTCTCACCAGGTCAGGATCTGATGATGGGATCCTGGGGAAATCGAGGGAAACCCTCAAATTTTGTAGGCATATACACTGTTTATCAGAAATTATCTTAATCTATGTAGATTTTTGCATCTAATGGTCTCCATCTGATGTTGCTGAGCTGATGATGAAGCTGTTGATGAATGGTTTAGGAGTATGGGATCTCTGTAACAAAATTATGTAATACCATCGAATTTGAATGTGTTTGAGTCTAATTAATAAGAACTCCGATCCTATGTGATATTCAGGGTCTGATGATGGAGACGGTAAATAGCCATGGGAACTCTGTAATAAAATAAAGCAATTCCGCCGTGTTTGTGCTCATTTGATTCGTCTCGACTAGGAGCTTCATGCTAGTCGATTTTTAACCAACATCAAAAAAGGAGGGTTTTTGATTCGACAGTATGTTTTCTTTTTAACCGACTTCCAAAACACAAAAGAGGAGGTTCTCAAGTCGTCTGTATTTTTTTTTTATGTATGTTTGTTACGCGATTTCTTCGTCAATTGTGGACCGATTTTCAAAATTCTTTTTGTAATCGAAAGGTTATGCTCCCGAATTGGTCCCATTACCACCAATTCAGGATCTGATAATGGGATCCTAGAGAAATCGAGTGAAACCCTCACAATTATTGGGAATTTGACAGCCCCGACAACGTGTTTTAGCTACGAGTATTTCTTTAGCCAAACAAACCATGGCAACTGTCAGAGACTGCGCGATGTGATGCGCAGAGAACTTGCAGTATTTATGTCACCACAGTAATTTTCGTTGTATTAAGAAGAAAAGGTTGAAATTTTGTATTCTATCTTGTTAAAATAATTCGGATAGACGTTTTGTTGCTATGGATGGCATCGCATTTCGTTTGTAAGTAATTTTATACTTAATTTATTAAAATAGTTCTGGAAAAAACTCTTAAATTTTGGGTGGGTCAACTAGGTTAATTTCTAACATACTAGTATTAACCCTTCTAGTTGGAACTCCTTCTATAAAATATTGAGCATATTTGTTGAGTAGTCTCACTAAAGCTTCCCTATCTTCACCTTCGAGATCAGTGTCAATTGAATCGGAAGTTATTTTGTTCGGTTGCAACTCACAAGAATTTGACTGTTTCTTAGAAAAGAATTTAAGCTGATCTTGATCAGTTTGGACGCCAATGTCATTTTCATATCCTACACTAAAAATGGTAAAATAAACCCTTTTTAAAAAAAAAGTTGAACCGACTTCAAAAAACACCGACAAAGAGCACTAAAAATTAAAAAATAATTACAAATCTAAGTAAAAACTATAATAAGTACCCTCAATGTAACAGGTAACATTATAATACCAATAGTCCCTTCTAGTCTGTTTGAAGTCGGTGGCAAGCTCGATGTACAATAAGTAATACTGGTCTATGTCAGCTTTATATTAGCACAATGAAAAATTAAGAATTCAAAATAATTCTAATGAAACATCGAAGATTTTGTTAATTAATAAAGACCAACCAGATCAATTACGTGCGCAAACTTATCAACTACTTATTAAAGAATTCAAAATAATAATATAATTGGAGATGTGCGTCCACTTTAGCTCGTTCATCATGTTTTGCGCAGCATGAAGACTGTTGCAGCTGCCGCGCTACATTCTACCATGCCTATCAAGCACCTATTTGGCTTGGCACCGACTTCAAACTGACTAGAAGGGACTATTGGTATTATAATGTTACCTGTTACATTGAGGGTACTTATTATAGTTTTTACTTAGATTTGTAATTATTTTTTAATTTTTAGTGCTCTTTGTCGGTGTTTTTTGAAGTCGGTTCAACTT